CGAGATGACGACGCACGTGAGTGCATACGCACTCGGTACGCCGCAAAGGCCTGCATGTGCGCGGACGTGGGCGGGGGGATGGTCGTCCTGGCTCATGCACATTGCCTGTGATGTTTCGTAGCGTACATCGCCGACATTGGGACGGATTTGAGGGCGGCGCACCGGCTGCCATTCGACGACGTGGCGCCCTCGCGATGTAACCGACGTCCACGATAGCGAGTGCGTACTCTCGGCGGCCAGATCGCGTCCGTGGAGTGCTCCGGAGCATCTGCGGCGCGTGCACGAGACGACGACGTGCGCGACCGCATCCGCACTCGGTACCCTACGGACGCCTGTATGTGCGCGAACTCGGGCGGGACCTTCGTCGACCTGGCTCGTACACCCTGCCTGCACTGTCTCGCAGCGTCCATCGTCGATGTCGAGGAGATCGGGGGCCGGGGGGCGGGCTGCGCGCGCAGAGATCCGTCGGTGTGCCGCCGCGAACGTCCCGTGCGCCCTCCGAAATGGGCCACCGGACGTCCGCGAGCACGGACGCGTACGCTCTGCGCATCTCGACGCGATCTGCGAAGAAAACGAAAAATGCCACTTTCGACCGATTTCGAGGGCGCGCACAGCGAATCGTGCGTACCTCCCGCATTCCGCCTCCGCAGGACGCGTCCTCCGAACGGCGTGCTCCCCAGAGCATTGCGCACCAGCCCCTGCGTTCGCGGGCGCATTCGACGACTTTGGCATTTCGCCATCTCGCAGCGGGCCGGCCTCGAGCCCAAGACGAGCCCCTCGTCCGTCGTCCCCAGCGGCCCCAGAGACGGCTGAGCGTGCGCGGACGACGGCACCGTCGCGAGCACGAGCGCACAGCACCACCTGCGGGCCGATTTTGGGTCAATTTCGGGCGAGTTCGAGGACGGGCGCGAGAGAATCGCGCGTACCTCGGTCAGCCCGGCGCCGCAGAGCGCGGCATTCGGACGGCGGGTGCTCCTGCACGGTTCGCACATGCCCCTGCGTTTGCACGTGATTTGGACGAGTTTGAGTTTTCGTTGAATGGTGGCGAGATGGTCGAGTCTGACGCGGTGTACCGCATGTAGGTGCCCGCCGCCGGTGTTCTTCACTCTCAGGGATCGCGCGGCGCGCTCGAACCGCTGCGTGGGTGTATGCATGAGGATGCAGCGCGAGCTCTGCGCACACAGCGCCGCCTGGGAACGGAATCCAGGTCATTTTCGACGAGTTTTCGGGGGCAAAGCCAGTAAATTGGACATACCTCGATTGGCTCGCCTCCGCAGGACGCGTCCTTCCGACGGCGAGTGCCCACAGACGTTTCCCACCAGCCCTGTCATTTGCGGGCCAATTCGACAACTTTCCATTTTCGTCCTTCGGCACCGTGTCGACCTCGACCGTCTCTGGCACCCAAAAACGAACCTCGTCCGTTGCCCTCCACAATCGCAGGGCCGGCGCAGAGTGTTCGAACGATGCCGCCATCGCACGCACGGAGTCGCACCGCACGTTCTGCGCGCGGAATGTCGTATTTTCGTATTTTCGCGAAATAGTGGCCCCAGAGCGGCGAGATGCGAGCGAGCAGGCACCCACCGATCGGATGGCTATGCGAGGGTGCGCGCGCGGCGGCCGTGCGTATGCGCCGCGTCCGTCCGAAACACTAGGGGGCCAAATGGGCGTCAGCGTCGTCCCGCGGCGCGGCGGTGCGGGCGGAATTACTCACCGCGAATGCG